TTTGGAAGCAGGACCTTTGGAAGGTAATTAGGTTTAGGTTTGGTCATGGAGGTGAGGCTCTCATGATGGATTATGCTTTTGTAAGAAGAGGAACACAGAGGTGTTTCAGCAGGCGATGACCCGAATATCTTTCCATATTTACACAAGATGTCATGTGAGCACAGAGCTTCTGCAAGCCAGAATGAGGTCCCTCACCAAGAATCAAACCAGGCAGCCCACAGGCCTCAGCCTTCCCAGCCTCAATGTCTATAGTTTAAACCAGTCTCTGATGTTTTTGTTGTGGCTGCTGAATTGACTAAAACAATGGCCCTTGCAATTAATGGTGCATAGTCAATTGTACATTAAGAAAATTGAGTGACATTGACCACCTTTGTCACACTACAAACACACACACACACACACACACACACACAATTTCAAGTGAATTATAGATCTAAATAAGAAAGATAAAACAATAAAGCTTCTACAAGAAAACAGGATACAATCTTCATGCCCTGGGAAAGTTCTCTTAACCAACAAGACCAAAAAATTACTAACCAGACAACAAAGGATTTATGGTTTATACTCCGTTAAAACTAAGAACCTCTGTTAACCAAGAGAGACCATTTACTGGAAGGATTTAAATTACCACAAGCAGGCTTTGTGAGGCCAGCTGGCCCAGTAATTGTAATTAATTGTTGGAAATAAAGTCCTTTAGAAATTTGGTTTTGATTCAAGTTTAGCTTCTGTTCTGGCTTCATCTATTATCTCCATAAAAAATATCAGAGTCAAAAACCTAAATAGTCCCAGACTGTGCTTTCAAAACACGGATACATGTATCATTTCCACAGGAGAAACTTATTAATATTATCATTTGACAAACTATCTTGATACAAAGGTATTTTTCAGTTGATGCTGATTTTACTAAAGGGCAAATCTTTATAATGAATTATTAGATATTTCTATAAATTAAGACACTGTTGTTGAAAAATTCCTTTCAAAATCAGGAAGTAGGAGTGGGTGTTTGGTATAGAAGTAAAGAGGCAACTTGATGCCTGCATCCCGTATTGTAGTGCCTGAGTTCCAGACCCAGCTCTGCTTGTGATTCCAGCTTCCTGCAAATGCATACCTTCAGAGGCAGCAGGTGATGGCCCAAATATCTGAGTCCCCACCACCCATACGGGAAACCCAGATTGAGATCTGGGCTCCTGGCTTTGACTTGTTCAGAATGTATGAGAAATGAACCAGTGGATGGAATCTCTCTCTCTCTCAAATAAAAAGAAAATAAACAGAATTTTTAAAGAATCAAGTACTGAATTTGACTCTAAGACGCAGTTGATTATAAAGCATTATTATTTTACATTCACTATAAAGCAAAATGTCGCCTGTTAAGCTATCGTGTAACACTTCCTTATCATTTAGATTCTAGTTTTATTACTACAGTAGATATCTGAGATTTAATCAGACTCTAAAAATCACTTCTGTGCTGATACAAATTGAATATAGATGCTAAACAAATTTCTGAACATTATTAACATTCAAAGACTGTTTCTTAAGAATCCCTCTTCTGCTGGGCAATTGGTATTTTCTGTGCTGTTGGAGCACAGGTGAGGCAGCATTTTAACAAGAATCCATTTAGATAAAAGAGCTATGGGTGGAGGGCTTTAAGCTAGCTAGAGTGAGTCTAACTTGACACTGTGCATAAAGACATCTGATTCAATACTTTCCATACCTGCCCCCAGGACTGCTAAAGGTGAAACAGGTGCTCACGCAATGTCTGTAGACTTTCTTCCAGGTCACTGAATGAGGAAATTTTAAGAAATTGTGGTGAATGTACATAGCAAAATTCACTACTTGAATCATTTTTAAGTGTATGGTTTAGGGCATTACATACATTTGTAACACTGCACAGTCATTACCATCCACCTTCAGAATATTTTCAGATTCTCTGACCCATTGCCAGTAAATCCCCAGTCCTCCCTCCCTCCAGCTCCTGGCAACCAGTGTCTCACTTTCCATCTCTGTGAATCTGACTACTCCAGGTACCTTGTATGCGTGAGATCATACAATATCTGCCTTTTTGTGTCTGGCTTATTTTGTTTTACATGGTGTTGTTAAGATTCATCCATGATGTAGCATGAATTGGACTTTCACTCCTTTTTGACTGAGTAGCAGCATTCCATTACAGGTTCATACCACATTTTGTTTTCCCATTTATCTGTCAATGGACACTTGAGTTTTCATCTTTTGACTATTATGATTAAAACTACCATGAGCACTGGTGTAAAAGTATCTCAGAGTTCCTGCTTTCTGTTCTTTAAATAGTCAGAAGTAGAAGTAATGGGTAATGGTAATTTGATTTACCATTTTGAGGAACCACCAACCATCGAATTTTTCCATAGTAGCTGAAGCATTTTACATTCCCACCAGCAGTGCAGCAGTGTACAAGGGTTCTAGTTTATCTGCATCCTACATCTCTATCTTATGCCTTTTTCCATTTTTTTCTTTTGAATAATAGCCACTGTAATGAATGGGGGGGGGTTCAATCTTTGCTTTTTTATGCTCAGCAGAATGCAATTCTGGTTGCATTTAATGATGGACACTACCCAACATCCAAGATCAAATGTGAGAGACGCTATTCTTAATTCTTACATCTGTGACTACTTATGCTGGAATCTTCGTGGGTCTGAAATGGAAACAAAACTGTATGTGGAATATTTTTGTGCCCAACCCTGTGCTAAGTGCTGCAGTGGGCATGGGGAAGGTAGGGAACTTGTGTGGCTGCCAAGTTCTCCTTTCAGTTTTACTCACTGGGCTGCGGTGGCACTGAGAAAAGAGGAAGCTCTTCTCTCTTCTCATGTCTGCTTGGGTCACCCTTTGGCTTCCTGGGTACCTTGTGCTGTCACTGAATCAGACGGGAGTTCTGCTGCCTTGCATTTGGAAAGAGAGTCTGCTGGTGTCCTCACCATCAGGAAAGAGGGTTATACTGAGGATGATGGTGAAACACTGCAGGAGAAAGCCCGGCTTAGAGGTTTTGTGCTGGTGTTTGCAGAAATCTGGTCCCCCAGAGTGGAGGCCTTGCCTCCCTCCTCTGCACCATGAAGACTGTGGTTAGTTCCTCCACTTCTTCGTACTTTGATTAAAGCCGATTATGTGCTCAGCTGGGGTTACAAGGCTAAGTACGACGTGATTCCTGCCTCAAATATTTGTGGGGCATTGGCGTGTGGATGAGAATGGGATAGAGGATAGACTTGTCAAACAGATGGAGTAGAACAGTGGTTCCCAGAGTGGCATCCTGGGCCTCAGAGCCAGACAGCACTTGGGATTCTGAGAAATACAATTGCTCACCCCAGACCTGCTGCATCCAAAACTCTCAAGGCAGCAACCCACACTAACAAGTGCTCAGCAGATTCTGACACGGGTGGTAAAATGTGAGGACCACTAAACTGAATTGTAATCTGACAAGCAAAAATACATTATGAATGGAAAATAGTGAGTACTACTACTTTGCCTTCTAAGCTTAGACTTTTTACTGTAGACCTAGTCCTAAAAAGTACATGGAAATGAATTTTATAAAAAATAATGAATAAATTTCAATGTTTGGCACCAAGATAAATTTATCCTTTAATTCTGCTTTCCCAAAAACTTTTTGAAGTGCCCTTGTATAGAACTTGTACCAACTCCCAACTGCAGTAATCTGAAATTCCGTTTGTCTATTCATCATAATTTAGTAAGGTTTTGAAGTTAGGAGATATTTATGGAGACCCTGTATAGTAATGTTCTATAAACAGAGATCATACAGCCAATTCTCATTATTTCTAGTGGTTATGTTCTATAAGCCTGTGGCAAACACGGAAATAGTGAATGTTGAACCACTGCTTCTCTGTGGAAAACACAGGGCTAGGTTCCCATCAGTCATTCGTCTCAACATTTTTACCAGTTTATTAATACAGAATCTTGCCTAATGTGTGTATTTCTATTTAAAGACACTTAATATATATTGCTGGCACATTAGCATTGAACTCAAGATCAAGAACACCATAACTTGCATCTGAACAACACTTATCTAACACATGACTTTGACCTTCCTAAAGCACTTCTCAGCCTTCTTGCACTTTGAAACACTACACAGCTGCTCAGCACAATGCTTGGGAAACATTTTCAACAGAGGAAAAACAACAAAAGGCACAGAATGCAAAACACTGGACACTGAATAAACTTTTTTTTTAAAAAGATTTTATTTATTTATTTGAAAGGCAGAGTCACAGAGGCAGAGAGAGAGAGAGAGAGAGAGAGAGAGAGAGGTCTTCCATCCACTGCTTCAGGTTCATTCCCCAGATGGTCCCAATGGCTGGAGCTGTGCCCATCCAAAGCCAGGCGTTTCCTCCATGTCTGCTATGCAGGTGCAGGGGCCCAAGGACTTCGGCCATCTTCTGCTGTCCCAGGCCACAGCAGAGAGCTGGATCGGAAGTGGAGCAGCCAGGACTCAAACCGGCGCCCATACGGGATACTGACACTGTAGACGGTGGCTTTACCCGTTATGCCACAGTGCCAGCCCAACACTGAATAAACTTCTAAATACACACACACACACACACAGCTCAGAGTATGCACTTTGGGCAACTCAAATTTTTCATCATTCTGCACATGTCCAAGAATGAGCATAAGTAAATACATAGTGAGCCTGATAAAAAAAATTCAGCATGTAGGCAAACTCAAAAATATTGAACCGAGAATCATAAGAGTCAACTGTATGTTAATATTTCAGTTACATAAAATGAAATAGGTCTTTAGAGTTAGCAGTACTATTACAAGAATATATCAAATAAGTTATTGAAAAATATATTTTCAAAAAATGTATTTCAGAAAATCTGATCATATTAAGGCTGCAATTTGGAAAATTGAATTCTTTTTTTAATTTATTTTTTATTTAGTAAATATAAATTTTCAAAGTACAGTTAATGAATTACAATGGCTTCCCCCCCATAATTTCCCTCCCACTCACAGCCCTCCCATCTCCCGCTCCTTCTCCCATTCCATTCACATCAAGATTCATTTTCAATTATCTTTATTTACAGAAGATTGATTCAGTACATATTAAGTAAAGATTTCATCAGTTTGCACCCACACAGAAACACAAAGTGTAAAATACTGTTTCAGTGCTAGTTATAGCATTACTTCACACTGGACAACACACTAAGGACAGATCACACATGAGAAGTAAGTACACAGTGACTCCTGTTGTTGACTTAACAATTTGACACTCTTGTTTATGGTGTCAGTAATCTCCCTAGGCTCTAGTCATGAGTTTCCAAGGCTATGGAAGCCTTTTGAGTTCACTGACTTCAATCTTATTCCAACAGGGTCATAGTCAAAGTGGAAGTTCTCTCCTCCCTTCAGAGAAAGGTAACTCTTTCTTTGATGGCCCCATTCTTTCCACTCTTGCAGAGATCTTCCATTTAGGTCTTCCTTTTTTTTCCAGGGTGTCTTGGTTTTCCATGCCTAAAATATTCTCATGGGCTCTTCAGCCAGATCCGAAGGCCTTAAGGGCTGATTCTGAGGCCAGAGTGCTATTTAGGACATCTGCCATTCTATGATTCTGCTGTGTATCCCGCTTTCCATGTTGGATTGTTCTCTCCCTTTTTGATTCTATCAGCTATTATTAGACACTAGTCTTGTTTGTGTGATCCCTTTGACTCTTAGACCTATCAGTGTGATCAATTGTGAACTGAAATTGATCACTTGGACTAGTGAAATGGCATTGGTACATGCCACCTTGATGGGATTGTATTGGGATCCCCTGGCACATTTCTAACTCCACCCTTTGGGGCAAGTCCAATTGAGTATGTCCCAAATTGTATGTCTCCTCCCTCTCTTATTCCCACTCTTATATTTAACAGGGATCAATTTTCAGTTAAAATTTAAACACCTCAGGATAATTGTGTGTAAGTCACAGAGTTCAACCAATAGTACTAGAACAAAACAAAGAGAAAATACTAAAATGGATAAAGTATTACATTGTACATCAACAGTCAGGACAAGAACTGATCAAGTCACTGTTTCTCATAGTGTCCATTTCACTTCAATAGGTTTCCCCTTTGGTGCTCAGTTGTCGCCGATCAGGGAGAACATATGATATTTGTCCCTTTGGTACTAGCTTAATTCACTCAGCATGATGTTTTCCAGATTCCTCCATTTTGTTGCAAATGACTGGATTTCGTTGTTTTTGACTGCTGTATAGTATTCTATAGAGTACATGTCCCATAATTTCTTTTTTTTTAACTTTTATTTAATGAATATAAATTTCCAAAGTACAGAATATTGATTACAATGGCTTCCCCCCCATAACGTCCCTCCCACTGCAACCCTCCCCTTTCCCACTCCCTCTCCCCTTCCATTCACATCAAGATTCATTTTTGATTCTCTTTATATACAGAAGATCAGTTTAGCATACATTAAGTAAAGATTTCAACAGTTTGCTCTCACACAGAAACATAAAGTGAAAAATACTGTTTGAGTACTAGTTATAGCATTAAATCTCAATGTACAGCACACTAAGGACAAAGATCCTACATGAGGAGTAAATGCACAGTGACTCCTGTTGTTGACTTAACAAATTAACACTCTTGTTTATGGCATCAGTAATCACCCTAGGCTCTTGTCATGAGCTGCCAAGGCTATGGAAGCCCCCTGAGTTCACCGACTCTGATCATACTTAGCCAAGGCATGGTCAAAGTGGAAGTTCTCTCCTCCCTTCAGAGAAAGGTACCTCCTTCTTTGATGACCCGTTCTTTCCACTGGGATCTCACTCACGGAGATCTTTCATTTAGGGTTTTTTTTTTTTTTTTTTTTGCCAGAGTGTCTTGGCTTTCCATGCCTGAAATACTCTCATGGGCTTTTCAGCCAGATCCACATGCCTTAAGGGCTGATTCTTAGGCCAGAGTGCTGTTTAGGACATCTGCCATTCTATGGGTCTGCTGTGTATCTCACTTCCCTCTAGTACCATTGGTTGAACTGTGTAATTAACACACAATTATTCTTAGGTGTTTAAATTTAATTTCATTCTTCATAGGTTGTATTTGGGTAATTGTTTTTCATTTTGAAAGAATAATGAGGCTGGCGCTGCAGCTCACTAGGCTAATCCTCCGCCTTGCGGTGCCGGCACACCGGGTTCTAGTCCCGGTCGGGGTGCCGGATCTGTCCCGGTTGCCCCTCTTCCAGGCCGGCTCTCTGCTGTGGCCAGGGAGTACAGTGGAGGATGGCCCAAGTACTTGGGCCCTGAAGCCCATGGGAGACCAGGATAAGTACCTGGCTCCTGCCATCAGATCAGTATGGTGCGCCAGCCGCAGTGCGCTGGCTGTGGTGGCCATTGGAGGGTGAACCAATGGCAAAGGAAGACCTTTCTCTCTGTCTCTCTCTCTCACTGTCCACTCTGCCTGTCAAAAAAAAAAAAAAAAGACTAATGAATTCTTTATAAAAGTATTTGCTTCCATTTTTTTTACATTCTATTTATAAACATATAGTAAAATAAATATTAGAAATCAGAAGAAATATTAGTATTAAATAATATAATTGACCTCATATATCCAGTGTACCAGGGTACTTCAAACAATTCATGGAAAATGCATACTATGAAGAAACTATGCCTGGATTTCAAAATATTTTGCATCAAAATAAACTCATCACTTAATTCTATTTTTTCCATGAACTGTTTGAAGTACCCTCACATTGAATTAAAACATAGGGAACTTTCTGTTTCACTGGCTCAAAATAGTGTAACATTGACAATTTCATATGATCCTGTCTAATAATTATCATTCTTCAGAGATTTCAGCACTTACTTTAAAAATCTGGGTTATCATGGCTTAGGTGTTTTATTTTGAATGGTAAACTAATTCCTTATCTTTCTATAATTTTAAAAAAGCTTATAAACCTTATATGTTATCTAGGACATTTTTATACTCTTCATATTAAAATATCTAGTAATTTTTCACCTGCTATCTTTTTTTGGATACATTTCAGAAATTAAAAATCTCCTTTATATTCTTTGGAAACCTAAGGAGCTTTAGCTTCTTCACATCCTTTGTAAAGACATCAGGGGTTAGCCCTGCATGGACTAAAGTATGGTGTTGAAATCAGCCATGCAGCTGACAGCTAAGTCAGAATGCTGGCTTTGCCATTCACCAACTTCTCTACAACTTCGTGTTCTAATCTGCAGAAGGATACTAACAGTAGTGCTTCCTTTAAAGAATGATTGTGAAGCTTAAATACACCAACATATGAGTATATTAAGTGCCTAAACCAGGGCTGGACATGTGGTACACATTCCAAGAAATGTTAGTAACTATTGTTACAAAATGTATTTGATATATATAAAATAGACCTATAGTGAAAGGAAGCAGCAACAACAGAATATTATTCAGACTTCAAAGAATGAAACCTGGCCATGTGTGCCAAAGTGGGTGGACTGGAGGACATAACGTTAATTCAAATAAGGCAGAGAGAGAAACACAAATAACACATGTTCTTCATATCTGGAATGGTGATTACTATAGGCTGGGAGGGTCAGGAGGGGATAGAATTTGGATTTTGGACAATGGGAGCCAAATTGGAGGTAGAGTGAAGGAATGAGTCTCTAGTATTTCACAGTAGAGTAGAAAGACCATAGTTCACAGTAACTATTATATATTTAATGAGGAGAGAGAAGAAAGGACTCCAATCACAAAGTGATGTCAGAGTGAGGGAAATATTGATTGCCCTGATTTGATCAGTTCACACTGGATACATGCATTGAAATGTGTCACCCTTACCCATAAGTATGGACAATTATTAATAAAAAATTCAAAAAAGCAAATTGGACTTGATATGAATCTTACAGGTAAACTGTTACAGTCAGGCTGGACTGATTGAAATAAATAGGTTTACAGGGGCCAGCGCTGTGGTTCACTTGGTTAATCCTCCGCCTGCAGCGCTGGCATCCCATATGGGCGCCAGGTTTTAGTCCCGGTTGTTCCTCTTCCAGGCCAGCTCTCTGCTGTGGCCCGGGAGTGCAGTGGAGGATGGCCTGAGTGCTTGGGCGTGTGGACCCTCATGGGACATCAGGAAGAAGCGCCTGGCTCCTGGCTTCATATCAGCGCAGCGCTGGCCGTAGCGGCCATTTGGGGAGTGAACCAACGGAAGGAAGACCTTTCTCTCTGTCTCTCTCTCTTATTGTCTATAACTCTACAAGTCAAATAAAAAAAAGAAATAAACAGGTTTACCTGTGATATCTCAATATTTCTGGCTCTTGGTTTTCTTTTCTCAAATGAGCAGTCACTTTTCAGGGTAGTTGTGAGGGTAAGAAGCAAGGTGTGTGGGTCTCACTTCATTTGCCTGCTGAGTGAAGCACTCCATCCGGTGACTAATCTTGGAAGTTCTCTGTTGTGGGTGCCAGATAGTTCACTGCAAGAAGAGAAATCCAGTAAATGCTAAGTCTTGAAAAAAAAAAAAAAAAAAAAAAAAAAAAAAAAGACGTGCTATTAAAATCCGTCTCCAGGAAGGTTTTTAGTGATAAAAGGGGAGAAATGGTGACACCCAGTGACCATCTGACAATATTGCATGCAAACATTTCCATCCCGAAGTGAATTATGTCATCGTATCTGGCTTTTCCTAGCCATTTTTTTTTTTACATAAAAAAGAAAGTGTCTAGTATTATTTAATATCAGATTCTCCTTATATTTTTAAAAAGTTTTTAAAATGTATTTGAAAGGCAGAGTTACATATATATATATATATATAGAGAGAGAGAGAGAGAGAGATCATAACTTCCAGCCAGAAACACAATCTTCCTCTGGTTCACTCCCCAGATGACCACAATGGCCAGGCCTCCCTGTGGGTGTAGAGCCCAAGGATTTGGGCCATCTTCCACTGCTTACACAGGCGCTTCAGCAGGGAGCTGGATAGGAAGCAGAGAGCCAAGACTTGAACCAGCACCCATATGGGATGCCAGCATTGCACGCGGCAGCTTTATTCATCTCCCCACACAGCTGGCCCCAGGTTTCCCTTATTTTAATTTTCTGTAATCATTTAAAAATAATAACCTTGGGGCTGGCATTGTGATATAATGGGTTCAGCTGCCATTTGCAAAGCCAGCATTATACATGGGTCCTTGTTTGAGTGCCTGGTACTTCACTTCCAATCCAGCTCCCTGCTAATGGCCTTGGTAAACAGCAGATGGCCAAAATCTTCGGACCTCTGACACCTACTTGGGAGACCCAGACTGGCTTCTGCCTGGCCCAGTGCTGGCCATTGTGGCCATCTGGGGAGTGAACCAGCAAATGGAAGATTTCTGTCTCTCCCTCTCTGCAACTCTTACTTTCAAAATAAATAACATTGTTTTAAAATCCTTATAACATTCAGTACTTAAGTAAATTATTTTTGTTTTATTTTCAATTATATACTAATTCCATATTTTTATATAATTTTATGTAAACTGTTTACCTAATACTTTCTAAAATTTTTATAATCCTACTATAAACTAATAAAACATGATATTATTTCATTTATCTTCTCTGAATGTAGCTATTGACTTGTAAGATAAATGTGTAAAGGTGGTTAATGGAAGCATTTTAAAAATACTTTTCATTTGAAAAGAGTTTTAGATTTACCTCTTGTATTATTAACATCTTATATAATTATTAGTATTTTATATTACTATGGTACCTTTGTCATAATTGATGAACCAACATTGATACATTTCTATTAACTGGCTGTTTCTTTCTAACCTGGCCAGAGTGTCAGGGTTCTGCAAGAGGGTGTGTGTGTGTGTATGTGAGAGAGAGAGGGAGAGAGATTTGACATTTATTTAAGAGACAGGGACACAGGGTCTGAAAGAGAAAGAGAGGGCTCCCATTGGCTGGCTCAGTCCCCCAAAGCCCCTAATTGCCTGGATTGTCCCGGGGTAGAAGCTGGGAGCCAGATACACAATCCAGGTCTCTCACATCGGTGCCAGGAACTCAGACTAGAAACATCCTGGCTGCCTCCCAGGGTCTACACTGGTGGGAAGGTGGACTCGGGAGCCAGAGCTGGGAGTGGAACCCAGGTACTCTGACGCGGGACCCAGGTTTGTAGACCTGTGTCCCAGCCACCAGGCCAAAAGCCTTGCTTCTTTTAAGGAACTGGCTTACATGATTGTGGAGGCTCGGTAACTCCAACATCTGCAGAGAGGGCGGGCAGGCTGGAGACCTCAGGGGGCCGCGCACGGCTGAGGACGCACCAAAGAGACACAGGAAACTACCTGACAGAGGCCGCAAGACCTAGTGCGGGCGGAACTCCTTGCTGCGAAGGGGAGGGTGAGCGGCAGTCCCTGGAGGCCTTGGACTGCTGGAACGCGGCACACGCCCACGGCGCTCCAGGCCCCCGCATCCACGCGCGCCTTCACGGCCAGTTTCCACGGCTAGGGGCCCTCGTTCCCGTGGCAGGGCAGGCTCCTCTGCGTACGCGGCGGCGAGACCGCCTCAGTCTCCCTTGCTTTGATGGCAGACCCAGTTCGGACGCGCGCTGCTCCTGGGGTTCGCAGCCTGTCTCTCCATAGGGGCCTGCGCTCTGCGTTTATCAGTGGCGAGGCTCTCCTCAACACCTCATCTCCAGACCCCCGTCCGCCACACCTCACCGAGGCAGCGCACCTGCATGCCTGGCCGCAGCTCCCGGAAGGGGCGAGTGAGACCATCGCTCCTGTGCAGCTGGTTTGTAGGAGACCCGTGCCCTCCACGTATAGATTCATGTATTTATTTCTAACACCACGGCATGATAGATGTTTTGTGCCTGAGGTTTGGGACGTTTGGGCCTCTGTCAGGTTGTTTCCTGTGTCTTCGGTGCGTCCTCAGCCGTGCGCGGCTGCTGATTTTCTTGCAATAAGCTCCAGGTGTATCTGGTATTCTCCCAGTCCCAGCCCCAAGTCAGCAGGGAGGGTGGGAAGGTCAGGCCCGGGGTCCGGGGCCAGCGGTCGCTGCGCTCCGCAGTGTGGCCTCGGGTGGGCAGAAGAGGCCGTGGCGCGCTTTTCCGGAGGTCGAGGCCCCAGGCCGGCCCCGAAGGACGGAGGGGCAGGATTGGGAGCAAGGGGGCGACTCCGCCGCGGAGGAGGAGGAGGAAAGGGCGTGTGCGCAGAGCTAGGGAGGCGTTGCCCCGCTGGGGCTGCGCCGGAATCCGGCCTTAGCTCGGCCGAAGGATCTGGAGAGGAGCCCCGCGAGCAGACCCGGCGGGGAGCGCCCCGGGCCGCGCCGCGCCGCGCCAGGCTCGCGGCTCCTGGGCGCGGCTGCGCTGCGTGTGCGGGGCTAGCGCGGCTGAACGCGCAGGGCTGGGCCGGCGGGGAGCCCAGGCCCCGGGCGCGCGGGGGCGCCCGGCCGCCCGCCGCCTGCGTGGGGCCTGCGCGGGCTGCCACCTTCTGGCGGCACCTGGAGTTCCGAGCTCGGGGCCGGACCCCGGCCTGGGGCTGATTGTGATTGGGTAAGTCTCCATCTGGGAAGGGAAGTGGAAGGATTTCCCCTGTGGTGTGCTGTTCGTGTGCGGTGTGCGTGATTTTTCCCTGCCCGCAGAGCCGGGTCCATTCATGAAATCCCAGCGTGCTGACATCATCATCATCCCCTCCCCGGGGAAGCCGAGCGGCAGTTGTCGCGCGTCCGAGGTGACTTCTCCGTCCACCCCAGGAGCCCTGCGTGCTGCTAGGACTGGTCAGGCTGAAATCTGGGCATTCTGAGTGTCTCATGTTGCAAGGAGCAGCTTCGTGATGGCCACCGCCGAGTGACCTGGCCTCTCTGAGCCTCACGTCCAGAAAATCACCCTGCGTTTTAACCCGTTCAGAATACAGCGCTCATCTCGGTGCTTCCAGATCAGACTGCAGCGTCTTGAAAGCTCTGAATTTCTGGGTGCAAGGTGGCAAGGAAAAAGTTAAAAAAAAAATTCAGTGCAAAAGTAAAAATAGATCCCTGAATCATTAAGTGGGCTGGAATGGAGTGATTCTTGGAGACTGGGGCACAGCCTTATCGGAGTGCACCAGCAAGTATTGTACTTGTGAACCGCGGCTCTGTTTCCAAAGAAGTAACTCTAAGTATGCCGCGCGGGACATTTTATCGCCCCTAAAATTTAAGCAGTATAGACAGGAACCAGCGCAAAATTGTTACACATCTCTGTTATGTAATATATGCTTGATGGGCATTCGATTTCATTCAAGTTTTCAAATATGGGAGATCACATGTAGGTTTGCATGCTTGCTTGCTTATTTATATATTTATTTATTTATTTATGACAGGCAGAGTGGACAGTGAGAGAGAGACAGAGAGAAAGGTCTTCCTTTTCCGTTGGTTCACCCTCCAATGGCCGCTGCGGCTGGCGCACGAAGCTGATCCGAAGCCAGGAGCCAGGTGCCTCTCCTGGTCTCCCATGTGGGTGCAGGGCCCAAGGACTTGAGCCATCCTCCACTGCACTATCGGGCCATAGCAGAGAGCTGGCCTGGAAGAGGGGCAACCGGGACAGAATCCGGCGCCCCGACAGGGACTAGAACCCAGTGTGCCGGCGCCGCAGGCGGGGGATTAGCCTATTGAGCCGCGGTGCCGGCCAGGTTTGCATGCTTTTTAAAAAAATATTATTTATTTATTTGAAAGAGAAAGGGAGGAGGGCGAGACAGATCTTCCATCTGCTTGGTTCATTCTCCAAATGGCTGCAACAGCCAGGGTTGGGCCAGGCAGAAGCCAGGAGCCCGGAGCTTCTTCCGGGTCTCCCACTTGGGTGCAAGGACCCAAGCACTTGGGCCATCTTCCACTGCTTTCACAGGCCATAGCAGCTGGATTGGAAAAGGAGCAAACGGGACTAGAACTAGCACCCATATGGTATGTCAATAGTGTTGACCAAAACATGGCATCTCTTGTGTGGAAAGTATTTTAAATGCTACATATAAAATGAATATGGTGTAAAGATCACAATAAAAAGTTTGAGTGCCAAAAGAGATCTATGTAATATAAAATGCTATTTGGGGGCTGGGACTGTGGCATAGCAGGTTAACACCCTGGCCTGAAGTGCTGGCATCCCATATGGGTGCCAGTTCGAGACCCGGCTGCTCCACTTCTGATCCAGCTCTCTGCTATGGCCTGGGAAAGTAGTAGAAGATGGTGCAAGGCCTTGGGCACCTGTACCTGCATGGGAGACCTGGAAGAAGTTCCTGGCTCCTGGCTTCGGATCGGCGCAGCTCTGGCCGTTGCAGCCAATTGGGGAGTTAACCAGCGGATGGAAGAACACTCTCTATCACTCTCTCTCTCTCTCTTTCTGCCTCTCCTCTCTCTGTGTAACTCTGACTTTCGAATTAATAAATAAATCTTTGAAAAAAATAAAAATAAAATGCTATTTTGACCACAAAGAAACCATAAGAATACAGCATTTTTGTAGCATAGAATATGGTATTTGTAGCAGTGAGTTGATAAACTGGTTTCTTTAGCACTGGTTATATAAATGCTTGACATGTTTTATCTATTTTAAGTCTCTTACCCACACTTCTACCCCCTATAAAAAACCCTGCTAATACAGTAATATATGGTTTATATATACTTATTTACATATTATATGTAGTAATGTATGTTTCATTTCTATGGAATACATAATTCCCATAAAAGAGAAGAAGGTGCTTGCTGTTACATGTTAGGAAGATATTTTGAGTAGAGGGAAGCAAATGTTTTAAGAGGTTCATTGAAAGGACATTTTAATGATTAACATGAACTGTGCTGTGCCGGTTAGGTTTAATTTTATTCAAAAATTAAGCATTTTTTCTGTTTTAGTTACCCATTAAATTCTCATGCTTTCAAACTCTCCAAAGCTCAAAACAAAAGGGATTGAAGGTAGATGTTTGTCGGACTTCTTAGTGATCAACAGAATTTGATATTTTTCACAATGAGTATGGGATCAGTGGTGAATGACTGGAGGCTGATTGGGTTGTGCAGGCGTAAAGGGCCCTGGTCAGGGGAAGAGTGGAACATGAACCCCAGCCCGTGTTCCACTTGCCTGGCTTTGTGCTTTGACGTGAGCTGCATCTGACCTACTGTCAGCAGTGTGGGACAGCTTGACCAGTTCTGGCTACGTCACACGAGCTGCTGTTGTTTCCAGTTCCCAGTAAGGTACGTGTGGGTGAATGGCAGCCCTCTTTGAGTCCTAGACCTGCTTCTTGAAGATGGTGTGTGTGTGTGTGTGTGTGTGTGGCAGGAAAAGAGGAACTACTTCATACAGAAGGATATTTAAAAAGTCTTCATGAGTAATTCTATACAGTGACATTTAGGAAACTTCATGTTCTGTTTTTCAGAAGAGGACTGTCAGAAGGCGCTACAAAGCACAGTTTTCCTGCGAAAGGCAAAGATCCTTTACCTTCGCATTTTACAAGGAATGTGCAGAAAGCCATTGATAAATACACCTGGTAAGAATGGATGCTTGTGATTGTCCCTGACAAATGTGAGAACCAAAGTCAGTGATTGGCCATGCATTTCTTAAAGTAAGATGCAGTTTTATTTTTAAGCTGGTGAAACATGAGACCCTGCAGAAAAATATTTTAGAATTAACGTGCTGTGAAAAGAACAAGCGTATAAGCATTTAATGAAAGAATGAATTGGGCAGCGAGAGGTAAGGTCACTGACTGGTGCAAGCTCTTCCCAGTGAACTCTGTTTCTGTTGCTTGTGTCCCTTCCTGCAGCACGTCCCCCTTGTCACTGTCATCCAGCGGAAGGCGCACGCCCACAGAGGCCCACAACCCCTGGTCTGGCTCTGCCACACACAGCTCAGCCACCGACTTGTCCACGGAGAGGAGCTCAGTGTGTTCTTGGAGAGATGATGTATGTCTCAGAATATTTTACATAATCCTAGGATTGTAATTTATAGAGTCGCTTTCTTATGTTCAAAAATCCTTCTACCAAGTATAAAAGTGTTATCTATTATATACAAACACATAAAAAAGCATTTACATGCTACATGTAACAATATTAAAATGCCAAAAGATGGAGGAAAAAAATCACTCATACCATCATAACCCAAAAATGAGCCCCCCCAACCACACCCAGTATTATACATGACTTCTTTTTTATTATTTTTATTTTTTATTTATTTTTTATTTTTTTGACAGGCAGAGTGGACAGAGAGACAGAGAGAAAGGTCTTCCTTTGCCGTTGGTTCACCCTCCAGTGGCCGCCACGGCCAGCTTACTGTGGCCGGCGATGGCAGGAGCCAGGTACTTATCCTGGTCTCACATGGGGTGCAGGGCCCAAGTACTTGGGCCATCCTCCACTGCACTCCCTGGCCACAGCAGAGAGATGGCCTGGAAGAGGGGCAACTGGGACAGAATCCGGCGCCCCGACCGGGACTAGAACCTGGTGTGCCGGCGCCGCAAGGCAGAGGATTAGCCTAGTGAGCCGCAGCGCCAGCCTGTATATGACTTCTTATATGGCAGCAATGGAATTCAGGACAGACTCTGACAATTAGGAGTGCAGCAGAAAAATTGTGGAAAAGTGAAACACTGAAGCATCACCATGATAAAGAATTCTCTGCCCTCACCCCAACAAAATTCTAAGTTAGTCATTCTTTTTCACCCTACTTGTGTCCTTGTGGGAGTAGGATTCTTAGCTGGGTGAGCTTTTAGTCTTCACCTAGGGCTTTTGGTAAGAAATCTGCTGACTTTGCATCTTCTGTCTTCCTGTCTTCTCCAGTTCCCTTGAGAATCCTGGGAGAGCCCTTTAGACTGGAGCCCCCGCTACAGTGCCTGGGGTGTTGCGCTTTCCCTCCTTGCTCATGGCCTGTTTTCCTTTGCTTTCTTTAAAAACAGTTCTCTGTTCCTCACAGCACATCTGGCTCTGCTCCCTTGAATAGTTACACAACAGGAGTGGTAGCAAGAAGGGCTGGGGGGGGGGGGTGGAGTATTGGAAGCGAGTCAGCCTGGAGTTGCCCAGAGAACTTTTTCAAACAACACATGACTCCCTTACTGTGATCAGTCGCCTCCTACTCCCCACTTCTGTGCCCCTTCCCTGTTGTACCCCCTCACCTCCTCTCTCAACACAGCTGTGTCCTTGGGAAGAAGGCTGAGAGCTGTTCCTTCATGCCTTCCACATTCTGGGATTCTTTTAGTACAGATTTCCATGGAATGACTAGGGAGATTCTTAGAACTTCTATTTATAGAATTTAGAATATGCCAGATCTTCCAAGTTCTTTTCATTTTAATTTAAAAATTTCACTCTTTAATGAGAAACTCTTGCAAAAGCAACAAAATGCAAAAGAGAGGAATTGAAGTGAGCTCTTCCCTATACACTAGCTGCCCAGTTCCCTCCTAGGAGTCAGATTGTTTTCCCTCATTTACACTGTAAATGAAATAATTCAACTCCCCTATAATCTGGGAGTCTAGTTTATTATCAGTTTCAGAGAAGAACTAACATAGAAAATAGTGAATAGCATTCTACGAAAACCAAACATGAATCGGCCATTTCCGGTCAGGTATGGTTGACTTTGTTGCTTTGAGTGGAGGTTTAGATTTCAAATTCACATACTCCTAGAAGAAAACATGGCCGAGGCTCAACCTGCGTGGGGTTGGTTCTTCCGTTACTGTAATGTTTATGTTCTCATTATTGGCCGTGGGAGCTGTGGGATTGTTACCTTCCAACAGAGACCATTCTGGAAAGAGTTTTCTCAGCTACAATTCACTGCAGCCACAGTACAAGAAAATCTTTTAGGGCCAAACAGAAAAATTTAATACACAATAACCACACCTCTTGGGATGAGACAATCAAGGGCTTTAATTTTTTTCTGTTTCTTTTATAAAAGGCTAGTAGCTCTTTCAACCAAAGTGGCTTTCTTTTTCATGGTGCTATCATAAAAAAAGTAGCTTTTACAGTTTTGCAGGTATGCTTAAGTACCTCAGGTTCGATTAAGTAAGGTGCACACAAGTCTGTGAATGTATCTGCTTGTATGTGTGTGGGTGTAGATATACAGGTGTATGTATGTCTGTGTATCTATATTCTTGTTTGTGTCAGTGTGCATACCTATACCTGTCCGTAAATGCAAAATCTCAGAACTCATTGCTCATTTGTTATAAATTATCCCTATTTAATAGTTTAAAAATCTGGGGTTCAGAATAATATGTAATTTATCAGAAAATTAAAAAATTGGAGCACTGGTATGCTTGACTGCAAATCCTATATTCTTTTACCATGGTATACTTCCTCCTCTATAAGAGGTTATTTCGAAATTCTAAATATCAATGAGTGTGAAGCCAATAGCATATTTCTGCAACTTTCAGTGTTGTAACTAATGTGCATTTCTGTTTTAGGAATTTGACAAAGCAAATGCACAGAAAGTGCAACAGTTATTTTGGGAGGTCGAGGAGATGCTGTTTGAAGGGAAAGTGACTCTTCAGACCCAGAACCTGCTGGCTGAATGCAGCGAGTGGGCACAAAGGTCCCTCCATCTGAGGTAGGGATATCATTCATGGAAATTCTCTGGGATGGTGTGTGAACTACCCACCTCTGATCTGAGCTTAATACAGTCAACAGAGTTTGACTGAAAGTACTTGCCCAGTCAAACCAAAACACAGTCCTTTGTGGGGAGCAACTCAGACTAGACTAAGTTACTGGAATTAAGACTTATTCTATGCATCTGCTCTCCCACAATATGGCGCTGAGAAGGGAGAAACAGCTTCTACACAGCTGCCTCCAGTTCAACCAATAAACTGTAGGACCTGCTCCTGATTGGAGGAGGACAGTGTACTTGGCGTGTGGGTAGCAGAGTTGGGATTGGTGGAAGAGGACTATAAAGGAGGAGAGAGACAACATGCATCGGGAACATCTGAAGGAACACCTGTGCAGCCTCCGAGAGAGCCGGCCGGCGGTGTGCCGCTCCCCTGCGGAAGTGGGGAAAGTGGCCAGGGGGAACCGCCCTTCCACGGAGGTGGAAGGGACGGTAGCCAACCCGGGAAGAACCAGCAGCAAACCCGGGGAGGGCCGAGCAGACAAAAGAACAACGCAGGGTCCTGTGTCGTTCCTCCACGAAGAGGGGGAGCGACATAATGGTGCCGTGACTCGGATATGAAGCCTAGGCAGGGTTTAGTGTCGTTCCTCCACGAAGAGGGGGAGCGACAGTCCTTTATGCAAAATCACATCCTTCGTTACATTGTCTAAGAAAATAGTGAGACATCCCAATACTCAAGTGTCTTTAATTTCTGAGATGCAAAGCTAGCTCATCCTCAGAAAGACATGACATATGTAGCAAATTTAGGAATAGCAGGAATGACCTCTGACCTCTACCTTCACTTGAATGTGGGCATTGAATGAATCCTTAGAATGTGTAAAGGCTGCAATGGGTGGGCAAAGTGCATGCTGAACACCTGGATGGGTGACTCTGTCTCATCCCCATCCTCAGTCATCTCTCATCTTTCTATAGAAGGTGGAGAGAATGGATGGAGGATGAGCGAACGTTTACTTCCTTCGGTCACTCAACCACCGTCCCTAGGGGAAAGTCTATCTCAGTGTCTCAAGTTCCTCTGTGTCATATTTGGGCAGAATAAACTAGAACACCCATGCAAATGTTGATGGATTTCCTGGTCACCCAACATAGGCAACTACTTTGACTAAGTTCTTGCCCATGCAGTCCTTCTTCAGCCCCTTGCCTTCAAGGGTGTAAGATATCTGCTGAGTACTAACTGAGGGTGCCTTTTTTCCTGGCAATAGGGCCCTTACCAAAATGTCAGGAGTGCGCACTTGTTCCTCTTATGTTATCTTACATAGTGAAGATAAAAATGGAGGAGGGAAGGTGGCAAATGAAATGAAGACAGGGAACATAAGCCAAGTATCCACTATGTGCATATTTATTAACATATATAGAGGGTGTCTGTGTGGACACTACCTTACGTGCCCCTGAGTCTAACACACATTATCTCTAAGCCATTATCAGTCCTGTAAGGAAACTGTAATTCTGTTTTGCAAGTGAAAAACGAACAGGTGAAATCATTGGTTTGGGAACCTGAGGAGACCTTTGCCTCCAGACCTCTAGTCAGTGGTTAACAAGGGCTATCTGGCTCTCTCGAAGCCTGGGCTTGTGTTGGGACACTGTGAGGCAACTCCTGTACCCATGCACAACTTACATCACACATATGCCTTCAAAAGCATTATGATGTTCTGCTTTTAAAGTTGCAAAGCATCTCTCCCTTGGCTGAACAAATATCTACAGTTTTTTTGTGTCTGTTAATTTTTTTCTCTAATTAAAAAAACTTGGTAGCTTCTTAATTGTTTTTCCTTGCAGAGTATTAGGAAGACAGCTCATCTTGCCAACTGATGAAGGGTTCCAACATTTCCAGGGCAGCGTGCCCTGCTGGCCAGTCCACAAACCCTTGCCTGATGTCTGTGAGCACAACAGCAACATCAAAGAGTATGTTCATATTTGTTTATTTAAAAAAAAGTTGTAAATTGTCTTCTAGTTATGCTTTTTGTGCATAAGTTTATCTCATCCATGTGCCATGACTCCACCAACTATGGAGTTTGGATTTTAATGAAAGACAGGTATAGAGAATATTTTTGCATAAGATGCCTCTGATTCTAAATTGGTGTGTATATCCATGTCTCTGTGTGTTTAAGTAAGTATGTGGAATACACACACGTGTGCATGCAGGAGTGCGTTTTACCTTTTGTTCCAGAGGCACTGTGACAGGTGGACTAGATGTAGAGTCAGACACTGTCGTGTTGTGATGTTTTTTTCAACCTCAACGCAGTAGCAGAAAAAGCAAATAAGGCTTTATCCTGTTTCCTTTTGCTAGCAGGTTTTAGAAAATCATTTCATGCCATTCACAAGTAGTTGGAAGGTTGGAAGTGTGTCGTGACATTGTTCCCTTGAAGCAGAAGGGATTCACTCAGAATATTGTAGGCTTTAAGAAGCCTTAAAATTTTTAATGATGTCTGTATCAAAATATTTTTAAGGATATAAGTTTTTCTGAGCACTCTATGAGTACTTAATGCTTTTATGTTCTGGATTCTGTGCTCTCTAGGTAGTATGAAGACCCCCACGATTATGCAGGCATTGCCTTGAGGATGTTTGACAAACTTCCATGTAGACTCCATTGTTTTCCTATAGGTTGTACATCTCGGGCTCTCAAATCATCCCTGTAGCACTCCCCGCCTCTGCCCCGCTGGGCCCTGATGGCACAGAGATTGATGACCGAAGGGCATGCTCATCCCAGGAAGAAGAGGTTTATGATGTGGATGGGAAGATTGAAGAGTATTTCGCTTTTGACAGAAAAGAAGAGTAAATGGATTTTCTTTTACATCAACTGTGTAACATAATACTATTTTAGTTGACATGCATTTTTATTATATGCTCATTTAGTGTTTTGTGTGTCTTTTCCTTAAAATATTCCTGTTCTTTGGAGAGTAATATACTGCCCAAAGCTTTTAGATTCCAGCAGGAAGTGTGAGTACTAGAGTGCTGCTTTCTACTCTTCCTGACAGTGTGGCACAGATGGAAAAGAAGAGTTCTCTTCAGTGTGCCATGAAACCGACAAGGATGGCAGTGACCCTGCCAGGGGTCTCCTGGGTCCCTATATCTGGTTGCCCAAAAAGACAAATGGAAAATTCCAGACTCTGCATTAACTGTGTATTGTATCCTTAAATGGAAGCTGCAGATATTGTGTAGTAAGAATTTGCCTTGTTTTTGAAAATTGTGCTATAGTAAGTCTGGAAATGTTAATTCACAAGGATTGAAATCCTCCCAAGATCTTTTCTGACTATAATGGTATGGGATCACAAATCAATAGCAGGAGGAAACCTGGGAAATTCACATATGTGATGAAATTAAACACACTCCTGAACAATCAGTGAGTCAAAGAGGAAGTCAAAAAATATCTTGAGACAAATGAAAATGGAATCAAAACATGTCAAAACTTATGGGACACAGCCACAGCAGATCTAAGAAGGAAATTGATAGCAGTAAATGCCTACATTAAAAAAAGAATAATCTCAAAGAACTTAAATTGACACTTGAAGGAAGAAGAAAAAGCACAAATTAAGCCCAAAGCTAGTAGAAGGGAGGCAATAGTAGAGATCACAGCAAAAATACATGTCATATTCATTATGTATATAAATGCCCACAGATGATTGGATAGATATCTGGATACATGTTAAGTTTAACCATTGATACTTTCAGTAATTGGAATGGGTTTTTGTCCTTAGTGATGATGAATGTCTTGAACAAAACCCAGCTCACCATGGTCGGAAGCAACATAAACACGGACTACCTCCCATTTCTCCTCATGACTGTATCAAAGACGCTGTGGTGGCAGAAGTGTTTGATCACGTATGGACCAATATGATAGAAATATTGGAAGATATGATCAGGAAAAACTGGGAGACTACACTCACAGGTACTTAGTGTAGAATTTGGCCTGATGAATAAAAAAAGTTACCCCTGTTCCTCAGCTTTGTACTCCCTCCCTCTGCTGTGCCCTAGGTGATCCATGAACATGACCAGAGTGAAGAGTAGGCTTCCATACTTTTGATTGCAAGAGATCTTTAATCACATCAAACAGGATAGTATTATTTTTTCAGTTGTAAAAGTAATTCATATACATTCTGAGGAAAAATACAGAAATAACACAAGAAAGAGTTAGAAGTCATATATTTTTATTGTGTTAAAAAATATTACCTAACCAATCTCTAATAATGGGATATTTTTGGTTGCTCATGACCTTATTTGTAAAGTGAAATATAAATATAAATAATTTAGTGATCACTTCATTTACCTTCATTTCAACATATAGGATGTTTTCTAAGCTATTTAAAATTCAACAGAAAAAACCATAACAATATCTGTGGTAGACACTGAAAACTAGTGTGTAACCAATTTGTACAGCAAGGCAATCATCATGTTAATTTAAATTTTTTATAGCCAGAAAGATTAGTTGGGCTTTTATCAACATTGAGAACCTGTATTGATCCACTGTATAATGTCTGTTTCTCTACACATCACTGACGTGACGGTCATGCCAGCTGTCTGCTGTCCGTGGCAGTATTCTTTTACCACTGGCCGCAGTATGAGTTTATGGTAACTCGGGAATAAATATTCTCTTTCAAGAGTGAATTTTAAGGATTTCGTGTAAGATAATCTGTTATTTCTTACCATATTGCTTTTTCTGTGAACACAGAAGGAAAAAAACCAAAAGAAAAGTCGAAAGTAGCTGGAAATCGATCTCCACATACACTCACTGCCCGTGGTGGCACCGATGTGTCGAGTGTTCCCCTATCCAGAAGTTCCGACACTCGCAGCCTAACCCTGCCTTCCCAGCTTCCCCCGCCCCAGGTAGATGCTGTTATACAAGTCTGTCTTTTTTCTTTCCAGCTTTGCGTCTTTGCCTCAGCTTGTTAAGAGTGCTAGTCTATTCAATTCTGTGTTCATAATATTGGGTTTGTTTGTCAGTAAGACCAAAATGGAATGTGATTATTTCATGACATTAAAAAATACAATTATTACGGTACAAGAAAATTTAAAATTTAATCTTTTAATTCTATTTTCCATGAATCTTTTGAAGTATACATATACACGCACGTATGTACACATCAGAAAAGGCAATATAGTTGGTATAAAGAATTTGAGATTTATGTAAAGATTGAAAGTTTGTAGCCTGACCACCATCTATTAGCTCTGTGATCTCAAATTAGTCCCTTTCTCTCAAAACCTCAATTTCATTCTCCATGGATTTATCACATAGGAAGCAGTGAGAAGGAAAGAGTTAAGATTGTACAGTGTGTGGAATAGGGTAGGCACTCAGTAAGTGCCTAAAGTAAGTAAGTAGTAAAAGTAAGCTTTTATTATAACAAGATGCTAATTATATATAATATTTGTAATTAGATGTGCTTTAGCTCATAAGTGCTGTGGAATTCAGAAGAAAAATATCAGACCTTTCATACAATAAAGATTAAGACATCAACTAAAATCTTACCTAAATCATAGGTAAGATTTGTTAAGTGGAAAGAAAAGGGTGAGATTAAAAAATGCACTTAATGTAAGAGCAAATACAGTGTTTATTCATAAGCTTGAAAGGGCAGGTCTGAATAGGTTCTGTGGTTCAGAGAACAGTGCATTAAGTAGACTCTAATTGGCTTGTTATACTATCTAGTGTAAGGTCTTTACAATAAACCATCTGTGTCTTTTCTGTTCCAAAGAAACTTGGGTGATTGCTACCCACTTATTTTGTGGTATTTTATACAGCTCTGTTGAATCCAATATAATATTCCCATTCTGCTAAATATGAGGTATGAATCTCAGAAACCTGAGATTTATATTTATAAAATATATTCTTTTCATTGAATTTTTCTCACAGCCAATTTGAGGGTGCCATTTGTTTCCTGCTGCTTCCAACAGGCACGGGTAATTAGAATGGTAGTGGGTTTTTAAAATTTTTTTAGATTAAATATTAAAAGTATTAAGAATTACTCAGATTAAATATTAAAATATTAACAATTAAAATATTTTCTCAGATTCATCGCTTCTCCAACAATTTGTACAGTGATTTGAATGGTGTGATGACAATTCAAGCAAAACCACTTCAGCAAAGACCTGCTTATTTGGCAGACAGAACCCAGTACGTAGATGACTCACCCAGCCTCTTCCCCTGGCTGGAAATAATGGTGCACTAGAGATCATCAAGACCCCATGGAAAATTGGCCTGGCTGATCCTCTGCCTACGGTGCCAGCACACCGGGTTCTAGTCCTGGGTGGGGCGCCGGATTCTGTCCTGGTCACTCCTCTTCCAGTCCAGCTCTCTGCTGTAGGCTGGGAAGGCAGTGGAGGATGGCCCAAGTGCTTGGGCCCTACACCTGCATGGGAGACCAGGAGGAAGCACCTGGCTCCTGGCTTTGGATCGGTGCAGTGCGCTGGCCGTAGTGGCCATTTGGGGGGTAAACCAACGGAAAGGGAAGACCTTTTTCTCTAATCTCTCTCTCTCTCTAACTCTGCTTGTCAAAAAAAAAAAAAAAAAAAGACTCTATGGAAAATTAAGAATACAATTATAAGATTGTAACAGCCAGCGTGCAAAAGCAGTTGATTTTAATCTCAACTGGAAAGCAATGACTATTGTGTAAGAGTTTGAGAGAGATGAGAACAAGGAAAGGGAGCTGTGAACCTTTAATCTTGTTGGATTTCCTGTTTGATTACAAAGAGAAATGGAGATCTTTTTTTCTTACAGAAATGGACATTGAATGATAGTCTATGTCCAATCAACAAGTGGCTTAGGGGTATATTCTGTTTACTGGGCACTGTCTAGATAGTACCTAGCAAAGCACAGCTAGAAGGGTTCCCTGTTCTGCACAGCATCAACATTTGAGTAACTGCATGAACTCCTCTCCCCAGGAATGAACAAGAGGACAAAGCATCAGGTGTGGGGACCAGTGCTGTTTCCTCTTCACGGCATCGGCCGGGACGCATGGCAGATACTCGTGGATTACAGACTTCTGCAAAGAAACCACCAGTGCATAGGAGGCTGCCTTCTCTTACTGCAGATTCACAGAGAATAAAAACCCCCAATGTGTCCAGTGATGGAGTCCTCAGGGGAACAAAGCTGTAAGTCTTGTTGGTCTTGTGGTGTACTGTGGGTCACATGGGACAGGGACATTTGTAGTTAGGGTTGATGCATTATTCTATATGAAGCATCCTCTGTCGGACTTTATGTGGATGCTTTCTAATGAGTTCCTTTGAGTATCTAACATTAATTCCATTCCAGTAGTGTACTTAACCATATGCAAGAATAAGAGTCAGACAGTGTACCTGTATACAGTACAGGCAACCAGTGAAAGGAAACTCTGAGAGTGGAATTATCTTGGGTTGATTTCAGTAGACTCATTTGTAAAACTAATAATAATTTTACATTACAAAATTAAGGCTTGTTTATAGAGAGATTTACATAAAATACTATATATAAAATACTATGAAGCTAAAAGTACAACCAATGTACATATTAACTTTTATTTACCTATTTAAATTTTTTTATTTATTCATTTGAAAGGCAGAGTTTCAGAGAGAAAGAGAAAGAGATGGAGAAAGAGGGGCTGGGGTCTTCCATCTGCTGGTTCATTCCTGGCCAGGGCTGCGTCAGGCAGAAGCCAGGAACCTGGAACTCCATCCAGGTCTCCCATGTGGGTGACAGGGGTCCATTCACTTGGACCATCTTCCACTGCTCTCCCAGGTGTATTAGCAAGGAACTGGATTGGAAGTGGAGCAGCCGGGACTCAAATCAACACTCATATAGGATGTTGGTGTTGCATGCACTGGTTTAACCAGCTATGCTACAACACTGGCTTCTTATTTATTGTTAAGGTTTTTTTTCCTGTCATTCTATGTAGGGATTTCAGAAGATTTGACCTTAAGGATTAACCTGAAATCAGTGCCTATTAGAAAAGTATTTGTCTCCTTTATTGTATAATTTAGAAGGAGCTTTCCAGGGAGTTTCCTCAAATGTTAGGCAATACTTAGGTTAATAATAATAGGTAGTTTATTGATTGCTTTCTTCATTACCAACACCTGGTAAATGAATTACATTTGTTATCTTATTTTGTTCCCTACCCTGAACTTTCGAGTTGGTGCTCATCCCAAATCTAAGATGAGGAAGCAGAGGGTGAAAGGAGTAGAACAGCAGCAAGGGGCAGAGCTGGGGGCACCCACAGGGCTCTCTGGCTTTGGAGTGCACCCTAACTCTCTGCCGCTGGAAGGGAGGGAGCTATTGGAGGGCCTGAGTGTAGGACCCTTGAAGGAGCTGTAGGAGTGAGCAGCTGCGAACACTCAACCAGTGATCTGGACTTTGTCAAGATGCGTCCTGGCACCACTTTTAGCTTCTTGAAAGGGCAGTTTTTTTCCCCTGTTATTTGAGACTGATGTGAGCTGTTGAAGTTGTTCCCGTCAATTCTTTGAAGATAGCCCTCGTTCTTCTGTTTTCATGGCCACCTCACATCCTCCTCCACCCCACGCTGGTGTCACAAGTACATGGCTGATTGATTCTTCCTTCCAGCCTGCCTGGGCTCCCTGATCAAACTTCCATCAAAACGCATTTCTATTTCCTATTGAAATAAATTGAGAAACCTCAAGTGTTACAGTCCCTCCATGTTTTGTCCCACAACCTTAGTAGACCAGTGTTTTCAGCTTTTTTGTTCATAATTGCCTCGCTAAAAAGCTCTTTCTCAGTTGCTCCCAGACCCATTGAATTTAAATACTGTAGATGCAATGCATATCTATATGTAGAGCTATCCTTTATATACACAAGTGCATTCTTTTTTGTCCCCACAGGGCCAAAGATACTTTTTTTTTTAATTTTCAAGGTAATATAAGTTCACTTAGAGCATTAGGATAATACCAAAAATATAAGTAGAAATCAAAGCTCTCCTGTTTGCCTCTCACATAGAAATACAGAAATGATGCTTGTTAATAAATTTCTTATTATTTTTGCTTAGGGTTGTATTTTTTTCCTTTGTTTCCATTGTATTTTCCCCAACACTAGCATTGTCTTGCCATCATATAATGTAATAATTTTTCCATACACTTTTTTTCACTTAACATTATATCATTCATAATTTCCATACTGTCAAATGTTTTTGAAAGCATGGTTTTAGTGACACCAAAATAATCACATTGGTATATGATTCTCATTAAGTATTGCCCTATTATTGAAAAATTTTCATTTTTTCTATATTTTCATATATTGTGAACATCATTTTATATCAGTTTAAGTAAGAATATTTTCAATTCTTTCTTAGTGATACAGTTAGAGAGGGAAAGCTACTAGTCAAAAGTTATGGATACCTTTATGGTTCTTGAAGTATTTTGCCAAAATGCTTCCGAGATTGGCTGTACCTATTTATAGCCCTACTGGCGATAAAAGAAGACTGTCTCCCCTCAGCCTCTAAACATTGTGTACTACCTGTACTATTTTAAAACATTACAGTTTTACAGGTAAAGTATTATCATATGATAACTGTCAACTTTTTTAATAATAAATATATAAAATAATAAATAAATCCAAATCTGGTTTTTTTTGTTTTTTTTTTTTTGACAGGCAGAGTTAGACAGTGAGAGAGAGAGACAGAGAGAAAGGTCTTCCTTTTTCCGTTGGTTCACCCCCCAAGTGGCTGCTACTGCTGGCGTACTGCAGCCAGCACATTGCACCGATCCGAAGCCAGGAGCCAGGTGCTTCCTCCTGGTCTCCCATGTGGGTGCAGAGCCCAGGGACCTGGGCCATCCTCCACTGTACTCCTGGGCCACAGCAGAGAGCTGGACTGGAAGAGGAGCAACCAGGACAGAATACGGTGCCCCCGACTGGGACAGAACCTGGTGTGCCAGCGCTGCAGGCAGAGGATTAGCCTAGTGAGCTGCAGTCCTGGCCCAAATCTGTTTTTAGAATATCTACTATTATGTAAAAACCAGATTTTTTTGATATTAATGTCTAGTAGGGATAGTCTCCTACCAATATTCTTCTTTCATTAAATTTTTTTAACTTTTGTTTAATGAATATAGATTTCCAAAGTACAGCTTATGGATTACATTGGCATCCCCCCACCCAATGACTTCCCTCCCACCCACAACCCTCCCCTTTCCCGCTCTCTCTCCCCTTCCATTCTTATCAAGATTCATTTTCAATTATCTTTATATACAGAAGATCAGTTTAGTATACATTAAGTAAAGATTTCAACAGTTTGCACCCACATAGAAACACAAAGTGAAAAATACTGTTTGAGTACTCATTATAGCATTCAATCACAATGTACAGCATATTAAGGGCAGAGATCCTACATGAGGAGTAAGTGCACAGTGACTCCTGTTGTTGATTTTACAAATTGACACTCCTAATTATGGCATCAGTAATCTCCCTATGCTCCAGTCATGAGTTTCCAAGGCTATGGAAGCCTTTTGAGTTCACCAACTCTTATCTTATTTAGACAAGGTCATAGTCAAGTGGAAGTTCTCTCCTCCCTTCAGAGAAAGGTACCTCTTTCTTTGATGACCTGTTTTTTCCACTGGGATCTCACTCACGGAGATCTTTCATTTAGGTTTTTTTTTTTTTGAATCCACCATGCCAGAGTGTCTTGGCTTTCCATGCCTGAAATACTCTCATGGGCTTTTCAGCCAGATTGGAATGCCTTAAGGGCTGATTCTGAGGCCAGAGTGCTGTTTAGGAATCTGCCATTCTATGAGTCTGCTGAGTATCTCGCTTCCCATGTTGGATCACTCTCCCCTTTTTTTATTCTATCAGTTAGTATCAGCAGGCACTAGACTTGTTTATGTGCTCCCTTTGACTCTTAGTCCTTTCATTATGATCAATTGTGAATTAAATTTTGTTTTGACAAATACACTTCACAGGTTTTTTTTTTTTTTTACATACATATATATTTTAAAAGCAAAGTTACACAGTGAGTCAGAGAGAGGGAGAGAGAGAGATAGAGATCTTCCATTCACTGGTTTACTCCCCAAATGGCCTCTATGGCCAGAGCTGGCCTGGTTCAAAGTCAGGAGCCAGGAGCTTCTTCTGGGTCTGCCAAATGGGTGCAGGTGTCTAAGCACTTGGGCCATCTTCTGCTGCTCTCCTAGGGGCATTAGTAGGGAGCTGGATTGGAAGTGGAACAGCTGGACTTGAACTGGCACCTATATGGGATGCCTGCAGTGCAGGTGGTGGCTTTATCCACTATGCCACAGCACCAGCCCAGTTCACAAAACTAAGTTCACAATATTTAGTTTTCTTATCAAAGAACATTTTTTGCTTCCATGTTCAAATGTCTGTTTTTGTGACCTTAAATACATTTTGTAGTCTTCTTCATCTGGGTCCTGCATGTTTATAATTAATTTTATCCTTGGTGCACTGCACTACTCCCTAGGTTGGTCCTCTGCTTACATTCAGGACTGTATACTGTAGCACTGTGTTAAATGCTGTCTTGCATTGTTCTGTAATTACTTCAAGTGTTTTCATCCTGTTTTCAATAATTGTCAGCTCCCTAAGGGAAGGAGATACATCTGCAATTCCTTCTGTATTCTGCACAGTTCCTAGCTCAGCCAGAGATTCCGGAAATCCAAACTGACAGTCCTTTGAAACCGGGACAGGAGCTGGAGCCCTGCCTCCCCTGTGTCATCCTGAAACTCAGCTTGCTGTACTTGAGCTTCTCTTTGGAAGGCAGATTGTGAGGAAGAGCTCAGGCCAGAAGCTTCAGGGTAGGCTCACCTTTGTCTCTGCACCTCGGTGTTCAGCTATGTGTTGTTGTGTTTACAGGCAGACGGGCATAGACCATGTGTCTGCTCCTCCAGTTCAGACCTCCCGGAACAGGTTACCTCCGATAGGCTCAGAAACCAGGGAGCAGAGCACAGCGGTTCCTGGATCCCGCCCTGTTTCTGTAAGACAGATCTCATTATATTTCAGTGCACCGTTTCAATGGGCTGCTGGGAAAGAAATAAGTAAAAATAAAGCTGGCATGACCTAGTGAAATCAATAACGTGGCACAATGATCTGATGAGCTGTGTTCCCAAATGCCTGTGTAATCTGTCTCTGGAAAATAAGTGGTTTGTGAGAATTTACAGAGGGCGAAAGGGTTAATCCATTCTTGCGTGAAGTAGAAGCAGGGCTTGAGCTAGATCAGCAAGTCCAGTCGTCAAGGAAATATCTGAGGGTCAGGATGGTGTAGCAATGAGAAGGACATGAAGGTTAGATTAAGAGATAGGTAGACAGATCCGTGTCTGGATCATGCCACACAAATTATAGGATTTGGTTCAAGTTACCTTAATCTCCCTGAATATGAGTGATTTCTGCTCTAAAAGGAGAATAACAACTCCTAAGTCAATGAATTGTTACAAAGATTAAATGAATTCCTACATGTTAAACAACGCCTGGCATTGATGAGGAGCCCAGTGGGGTATGGCCCTGGTCGTTCTGATGAGATCTGGTGTTTACAGTTAACTTGTGCTGTTTCTTGCAGTGCAGAGGCAGTGTCTTCTTCACTCGAGCTCATCTCAGCCATGCGGTTGCAAAAGGTCTGGGGAAGGTTCCCGGCTGGGAGCACGTGTAGCCAGGTTCCCCAGATTGCCAGCGACCCCTTGCTGCATCCTGATATACATATCATGTGTCTATTTTATGCAGCACTGAGGGAACCCTATTGTAGGAACATAAAGGCCTAGAGAGAGAAAAACCACTGAGGCAAGGTTTTCTTTTGCCTTCCTCCCGTGTCCTTGAGCACAGCTATAGAATTCATTCCCAGGAGGCAAGAGTTGCACAGCTTTAATGTTTAACCTTAGAATGAAATAATGAAAAAAAGAAAAGACCACGTGAAAAAGTCTGATGCTTCCTGCACAAATGCAAAATTACACTTCTATTGTAACTTAATAGTAAGAATTTTATGTGGTCAAAGCTTTTTGATTCCTACTTCTCTGCTATGGTACTACTGCTTGTTTATCAAGTAATAATGCAATTATATAATTAAAATATATTTAGAGTGATTCCTAGACCTTACACTTAGCAATATCTAGATAAAAGTTTTCAGAGCAGTAAGTGAATGAGCAGATGAGTGAGTAATGGAAGCACGTATGGACTTTCTTTCATCGTGTTAAGGATTTCATTTCTTTTAAGCAAGAACATGTTATCCTTCATTTAGTACAGGGGACGGCACATACACAGCCGCGTGTTAAGTGCGATGCCTGACAGCATGGAGAGATCGCCCCTTCGAGAAAGAACGGTGACCCTGGAACAGCTTTCGAGGCCCAGCACCACTCATACGTTCCGGGTAGGTTCTCTGCTCACCATAACCGTGATTTTAAAAAAAACGTTTGATCAAATAAAACTAATCCTTCATCTGCTTTTCCTCCTAGCCATTGGATACGCCTCGAAAAGGTTCATTGACACCGATGGAATTTGCCCGACACACATGGACAGGTCAAAGTATTTTGACAGGTCAGCTTTTCCTACCTTTGAAGAAAATTATGTAATTTGTGAGAGTTCAGCTTTCAGGAAGTGAAATTGAAGATTATCTACACTGTTATCTACATGTTTGACTATGTAGTGGGGAGAAGCAAGTGTTTGTGGTTTCTGGTCTGACCTCAGAAAACTCTGTCCAGATCACACCTGCAGAGACAAGCACTTTGCTGCATTAGTTTCTAAAGGAGAAGATACTCAAACGCTCTCAGCTGGGGTGGGGGTGCTCCCTCTCATAGAAATAAAAAAGGCAGACACTGTTTTAGAAGACCTAACTGTCTCTGTTCTCTGCTATAGAGTTTTCATGCTTTTCTTCTAAATGAAACCCTAATCTAGGATTCTCTCTGAAGCTCTAATGATAAAAATGCTTGAGTAAATTAATACAGGTTTGTGCTATTGTTTAATAGCATAAAGTTTTATAGATAAATTCATATTCTCAACCTAGTATGCTGTTTAATGAATGAAGATTTAGTTTGAATACAAGCCAGTGATGTTTCAATTTCTGAAACTGTTGCCAATTCTTACATTATAATTTTAAAAGATTTGATTATTTATTTATTTATTTGGAAGGCAGAGAGAAAAAATAAGAGAGGGAGATCTTTGATCTGCTGGTTCACTCCCCAGATGACCACAATAGCTAGAGCTGGGCCGCACCAAGGAGCAAGGAATTTTTTCCCACAGGAGTGGTAGGGGTCAGAGTATTTGGGCCATCATCTGCTGCCTTCCCAGGTGCATTAGCAGGGAGCTAGATTGGAAGTGAAAGAACTCGGACTTGAATGGCATCTCACTATGGGATGCTGGTATGACAAGCAGTGGCTTAACCTGCCAAACAGCAACACTGGCCCCCCTGCAAAAATTTGTTTCCGGAGAGGTTGCATTGAATCTTCAATCTTCATAAGGCATGCTTCTCTGGAATCTGATGTTGGGTTTCCGTGCTAGCTCTACCTCCCCCATGCTGTGAATCTTAGGAATATCCCAACGTCTCTGGACCTCAGTTTCTTCTTTTGAAATTTTTTACTTATAGTTGGAGAGGGGTGGGGGAGACAGAGAAAGAGAGAGATGGGGGCTAGAGAGGGAGAAAGAATGAAGCGGGGGGGGGGGTCTTCCATCTGTTGGTTCACTCTGCAACTGGCCACAACAGCCAGAGATAGGCCAGTTGAAAGCCAGGAGCCAGGAGCTTCTCCTGGGCCTCCCACATGAGTGCAGGGGCCCAAGCACTTGGGCCATCCTCCACTGCTTTCCTTGGTGCGTAAGCAGGGAGCTGGATTGGAAGTGGAGCTGCTGGGACTTGAACTGGTGCTCCTGTGGGATGCCGGCACTGCAGGTGGTGGTTTTACTTGCTATGCCACAGAGCCAGCCCCAGTTTCTTCTTTTATAATTGACTGGGTGGATAAAATAATTGTTGGATAAGCAATGAAAGACACCTGCTGGATGCCTGGCATATATTGCTCAAAAATTACAAATCATTTATCTTACGTGAAACACCTAGGATAAATTAATATTTTAAGGGAAAATTTTAGTGCATTATAATTCTGAAAACAAATTAAGTAAAGTGTTGTGTAACACAGATTAATCATTGTGTATATCAGCCCTTCTATAGTTCTATAGTGTAATGAATATATAAAGGGCTTCTATATATAAATATATATGTAAGTATATATATATATATTTTAAAGAGCTTCTTTAGCCCTTTAAAATTTCCTGTTATGCTAATATCTCTAGGCTGCTGTGCCTTTTTGTTGCTTGTTTTCCCTGTATGTTCCTGGTAGTGTTAGCTGTCATTGTCAATGACAATGGTACTTTTTCAAAGGGCAACTGTGCCACATTATCAGGTATCACATTTTTTTTTAAATTTTTTGACAGGCAGAGTGGACAGTGAGAGAGAGAGACAGAGAGAAAGGTCTTCCTTTTGCCGTTGGTTCACCCTCCAATGGCTGCCGCGGCCGGTGCACTATGGCCGGCGCACCGCGCTGATCCAATGGCAGGAGCCAGGTGCTTCTCCTGGTCTCCCATGGGGTGCAGGGCCCAAGTACTTGGGCCATCCTCCAGTGCACTCCCTGGCCACAGCAGAGAGCTGGCCTGGAAGAGAGGCAACTGGGACAGAATCCGGCGCCCCGACCGGGACTAGAACCCGGTGTGCCGGCGCCACAAGGCGGAGGATTAGCCTAGTGAGCCGCGGCGCTGGCCACAGGTATCACATTTATCATAATTGTAGATGTCTGGGAAGAAAATAGGCACCCAACTTTCTTTATTAGTCAACAATAGTGTTCCAAAAAATACTTACTGTGTATTAAGTTCTTTGCTAAAGGTCAGGATTCACAAAGCAAGGATGTTTTGATCTGTGCTCATGGAACAAGATGGGAAGGGCTGTGAAGAGTTGGGGCGGGGGGCGGCACTGTGGCACAGCAGGTAAAGCCCCCATCTTCAGTGCCGCCATCCCATATGGGTGCTGGTTTGAGTCCCAGCTGCTCCGCTTCAGATCCAGCTCTCTGCTATGGCCTGGGAAAACAGTAGAAGATGGCCCAAGGCCTTGAGCCCTTGCATCTGTATGGGAGACCCAGAAGAAGCACCTGGCTTCGGATTGGCACAGCTCCGGACATTGCAGCCAACTGGGGAGTGAACCAGCAGATGGAAGACCTCTCTCCGCCTCTCCTTCTCTCTCTGTGTAATTCTGACTTTCAAATAAATGTTTAAAAAACAAACAAAAAAGAATTGCAGGCAGGACCACCACGCTCGATGTTCAGAGAGGCTTCAAGGGGGTTAGGAGCCAGAACTGGGCTGTGAATTTGTGTTATATTTGCCTTCTTTAATCTTTCACCAGATACCAGGGCAGTATATTCTCTTAGCAGTAACTGGGACACAGCTGTCATTATTGGTAGTCAGAGGCCTTTTCCATTTCTAGTGACGTGACCAGGGATAGATAAGGGAGATGCCCTTGCATTTCTAAGGATATATTTCCTTTTTCTCTAACAAATAGGCACACGGCCTCCTTGCTGCCTTTATTTCCAGGTCAAATGCAGCAGAACTCTTCACTTAGCAGCTTTTCATTTGTTCTGTGCTAGACAAAAAAATACGGAAGAAGCTGGGTGGGTGAGTGGGTGCCCACACTCATAGAGGGACGGCGCTCTGTAGGTTGAGGGCATTTCTCCTGCCCCGTGAAGTAGTGGAGCTGCCAGAGCGCCCTTAACTCTCTAGGCCCCAGAGACCCAGGTCTGCCTCGAAGTTCCTGCAAACCCACTGGTTCTGGGAGAGTGGCCAGCACCCAAGCCTGTGTAGCAGGGGGGCACCCTTCCTTTTTCTTGCGACCCTAATATAGGATGTTTTCAGGACTATGACTAGGTCTAGTTAGTGCAAGAATGAAAGTAAAACATTTTGTTCCTTTCCAAAAGTGCCATCCGTATGTTATGTACGAAGTACTCCTTCTAGGAGGTTGAGTTTTTAATGTTTTAGTAGGAATTCATTTTGGGTTGGTGTTTTAGGTTCACAGTATCTGCCGAAATCTTTTCAAAGGACAACTTTGACTTCAAGAAAGAGATTCCAAGTGGCGTCCTGATGTGACTTTCCCAGTCCTACAGCCCTGACTGGAGCATGCAAAGGCTCAGCACTCCATTCATCATGTGAACAATGGAAGAACCAGTGTTATGCTGTGTATCTGTCTGACTGTCTGAGAATGTGCAAGAAATATAAATAAACCACTTTAACTTTGCATTGTAGAGAATAAAAGACTCACTGACCTTTTTCACTGGATGCATTCCTAAGGCTCTTTAAACTTTGTTCAGATGACCCTCATGTGTGTTTCAATGCCATCATTTTATCAGTCACACACACACAATTAGTCAAGTGTCTGTGTCCACACTTTATATTATATTCATAGATTATTATATGAGTATATTTTCTAGAAATATGCCATTTTATAATATACCTTGCCTTATCTCATTCCATAAATAATTCCCCCCAAATACTAGTCACTATAGGTACTACTCCTTCCCTAACAAACAGTAAAGCCATATTTGAGACAATCTGTCACTTTGATAAGGTGCAGACTGTTTCAGGAGTTATGCGGACACTTTACTCATGAAAACCTCTTTGAGAAATGTTTGTGGCTAATTCTTCCAGGCAAATTTTGTTTTACTAGCTTTTGTTTTCAACTTTATGCAACTAATTTTAAAGTACCCCACATTTGTTTTTTTGTAGCTGAATATAAAGAGTTAAAATTTAAAAATTATGTTAGTATCAGTTCTTAGATCCATTTTGGTATTCTGATACCTCAAATCAGCGTTTTTCTCTTTTTTATAAGATATATTTTATTAACTGAATTTTCACCAATCCAAAATAAAATTTTATGCCTATATATCACATAGCTGTATAGTGCATTATTTTCAGATGTATTTCTGATTTCAGGGAAGGGATTGTTGCCTTCTTACAGAAGTTTGGAAATTGAAAAGTATGTTGAGACTGAATTTAATGCTGTCCTTTATCACAGTGAGAAAACAGAATTGAGCCCAGAGCCTCGTCTCCATGGTCCTTCATCTTCTCCACCTTCCACACCATGGGGCAGGCCAAGAAGAAGAAACAAGTGTCCACTCATCTTTTGGATGCCCTTAGCTCCTAACTTAGGGAAAATTCCTGATGTTCAGCCTCCACACAAATCAGACCAAGGCATTTTGAGAATTTTCTAAATTATTCCTGAACATCAGCTTTGGAAACTTAAAAAAAAAAAAAAGAGTCTTCATTTAGCAGTTGTTAAACTTGAAGACTTTCTCGTCCTACAAGTAGCCTGATCTGAGCTGCCTGGTTAGGTGCTCTCTGGTCCATCATTACAGCTATCAGAGCTGTCTGACGGGCTCTTGCTCTTTCAGAGCTATTTAGGGATTTTACATGAATTTCTAGGAACCATCCAGCTTCTTCCTTACTCTGCATAAGCTTCTCAGAGGGAGAATGGCTGGAATGCTACCTAAATGGACATGAAGGTAGTGTATTCAAGATAAATTATTTTTCTTAGAGAACCCCTGAATATATTTTATGGTACCTTTACCTTCTTTGGCCTCAGAGGTTTACAAATAAGAATATGTAAAATATTAGTTTGGTTAAAAAAATGCTTTCATAAATAGAACCAGGCACAGTGATCTTGACTATTCTCCAAGTACTTTTATTGGAAGATAAAACACCAGTCAGAGATTACTTAAGAAACTGGTTCTGTCAATGGTGTCAACAGTGAACTTCTTTTCTCATAGCAATTAATTTTTTACACTCATGCTAAAGATAATATTTTGTTTATTAGTTAAAGGAGATTTAGAGATTAATGAATAATGCTTATGCAAGATGGTGGTTTTTCAACCAACTAGGTAATAATTAGGGAAGTGTTTTCACAATAAACCACCTTGCTTGATAAAGGAGCCTTATCTTAGAGTTCTCTTTTAAAAATCAAGGAAGAAAAATTGAACTACTTCTGAGATCAATTTTTAAATTCAGGTTACTGACTACATTAATTAAAATGTCAATTTTTCTGAAACCAAAGAGTAAATGAAGAAATTTAAAAATAGTCTAAGAAAATATAAAATGCCATAAAATTTCTGGATTTTACAAGTTTAATATAAAAAGTATATTCATGTTGTCTTGATCTAGAATGGAATTTCTAAACCAATCGAGAAGTACATTTTTGTAATATAAACCATTTGTGTACTCTATTTTTAATGTTCTTATGATTATGAATAATAATCAAGAGTTTTTAATTCTTTAATAATTATAAAGGTGTTGAAGAAGTTTTCAAATATTCATTATATTTGCAAAAGCATCTGCAGATTCCCAATTTTTATATAGTTCGTGCAAATCTCTACTTTGCAGTTTTTAATACCCAAGTATTCATTCATTTATTTCAAAGTACATAGCAAACTTTTCCCAGTGACTGAAAATGTACATCCATATACATTTTTAATGGCTTTACCTCCTTCAATGTAATCTTTGCTTCAGAAGATGAAATTCCTTTGTGGTAATCATCATGAATTATTACATTTAATCAGATTTCTTTCTGTAGGACTTTGAACCATTGGGCTGAGTAAGACAAAATCTTTTCCCTAAATGAACTCAGATTGCAGTGGAAGAGACATACTATAAACAAATAAATACAAATGTAAGATAAGGCCAATAAGTGCTAGGAAGAACAAAACCAGGCAAGATGACAGTGGAAAAAACAAACTTTAGCTAGAGCAGTGAGAAAGTCTATATTACAAGGTAATATTTTAGCAAAGACCTAAACAAGATGAGAGAAGAAGCCATGTAGATACCTGGGAAAAGGAAGTCTAGGTAGAGGACAAAATGCACACACCTAAAACAAGGGTAAACGTGCAATGTTTGAGGACAGCAAAGGGGTCCAAGGAACATGTAATGCAATTAGCAGGAGACGGCACAATAGGACATGAAATTGGTGAGGTAACAGAAGCTGAGAGATTAAAATCCTTTTTTGTTCTATAAGAAATTGTAAGTACAGTCATTCCTCTGTATCTAATGGGATTTGTTACACCAAGTGGCTACCAAAATTTTAGGATGCTCAAGTCTATTGCATAAAATGGTATAATATTACCCACACACATTCTCCTTTATATTTGAAATAACCTTTAGATTACTTATAATACCCTATACCATATAAATACTATGTAAATATTTGTTATACTGTATTGTTTAGGCAATAATGATTAAAAAGTCTGTACATACTCAGTACAGATGCAATTTTTCCCCTAATAATTTCAATCCACAGTTGGTGTAAGCCACAGATGCAGAATCCAGAGGTGCATAATCTGAAGTCACAAGCTACTTGAGTTTTGAGGGTAGAGTGATATAATTTAACAACAGATAATCATGTTTCAGATTAAGTGATAGTGACAGGTTAAGAATAAATGTTAGGGTAGGCCAATGAGAAGTCACAGAACTTTGGATATGCTTGAAATTTGGGCCCATGATATTTGATGTTGGATTAGATGTGAAGTGTAGCTACAAAAAAAAAAAAAAATCAACAATGATCCCAAAGCTTTTGGCTTGACACTTAGAGCATAATGTTAACATTTACCAAAACTGGAAAGCTTGCAAGTTTGAGAACATGTTGGGACATATCTGCATCAAGATGTTGAGGTACTTGTATATCTCTCTCTAGGGTTTGGAGAGGAGGTATAGACTGAGGCTATAAGTTTGAAAATTGTCAGCATATACAGTAGATGGTATTTAAGTACTACTATGAGGTAACCAAGAGAGTGAATTAAGAGAATTGGGGAAATAATTGTGAATCTTGGACATTTTAATATCTAGAGTTCTCAAATGTGAAGAAAAATTAGCAATGCAGACCAGGAAAGAATAGCTGGTGAGGGAGAATAAAAATAAGAAGAATGTGAATCCTCCAAGTCAAATGGAAAGGAAAAGGTGTTTAAGGGAAATGATGGGAACTCATATATGCCGAATTCTTTGATAAGTCAATTTACATAAGATCTGAGAATTGACTTAAGATTTGGTTATGTGGAAGTTACTGGTGACCTTGACAAAAATCTGTTGGTCAGATGGAAAAGGCAAGTTCCTGCTTGCAGTAGGTTTAGGAATGAAGAAGACAGCAATTGAAAACATTAGTCATCGGCAAGTCTTACAAGGTATTTTTCTGTAAACCAGATAAAGTAATGGATCTAGAGGGAGATACAGATCTATGAGTGGATTTTGGGTGGGATAAATTGCAAATTACACAGGGGGAGAAGGGAAACTAATAATATTAGAAAGAGGAAAATTATCTGGAATAATGTCCTTTAGAGGTCTCAAGGAGATGGGATAATTTGAAACAGGACACCAATCTTGGATAATTTACAAATACCTATACTTTTTACAAATGTTTTAATTACCTGTTTTTATAGTATTGAAAATAGAAAAAGAGTTTTACCCCAAATTCACATATCCTTCTATTAAGCAGTGCTCTGAGGTCTCCTTTGTAGAAGTTTCAAGTTTGAGGAGAGGTTATTGTGGGAGAAATGTGGTAAAAGCAACCACAGGCACAGAGGCCTCTAGTCACACAAACACAACTGGATCCATGAGAGCATATACTGATGAAGACGAGGGAGGGATGAAAATAGAAGAGGAAGAATGGAACTACAACGGCACCTGGTAAGACACTCTATTCTACTGAAGACAACTTACGACTAGATTTAGTCATTGTAAGCAAAGTAATCTGGAGTCTGAAAACAATTTTTCCCTGTACTTGAGTCTTTTTCTTAGTTTCATTGTATATGTGTGTGTGTTCCCTAGTGAGGTTTAGCTTAATAGATGTCTTCTTTATTCAAAGGTTAACATATATTTAGGGTTAAAATATTATAACACTAGCATAAAGTCAGTAAGTGTTTGTTAAAATATTATAAACACATTATATTGTCCAAAAGTATTATGTTAAGATAGAATTTTATAAAAAAAGTTTGTGGCATAATCCTTTAGTTAATAACTTAAAAATACTAAAAATGCTTAAGATGCTAAGAAAGGAGATAAATGAAAACATTAAATAATATATTTGATCTCAGAGTAAGAATTGGAAACAAAACATAGAACAAGATGGGACAAACAGAACAAAAGATAAAATACATTAAGTAAAATGGACCAAATAATCTTATTAAGGAACTAAGATAATCAGAACAAATTTTAAAAAACCCCCCCAAAAATGCTGATTATATGAGAATGCCCTTAATTTAAGTACAGAAAAACAATGAATGAAAAAGGATA